TCTTTTTATTGATAATTGCAATAATTCTTATTCTGTTGGACAATATGTTATTATTGATGAAATACTTCCTGCATTCAAAGGAAAATGTTCATTTAGGCAATATATGCCAAATAAACCATCAAAATATGGTCTGAAAATATATGCTCTAGTTCTAGAACTTTATTAAAAACAGAATTATATACTGGCAATCAGCCAGAAGGGCCATATAAATTGTCAAACAAGCCATTTGATGTAGTTGAAAGACTAATTCAACCAATTTCAAAAAGTAATAGAAATATTACAATGGACAATTGGTTTACTAGCTATGAATTAGCTAATTATTTATTATCTTCACATTCCCTAACAATTGTAAGGACTATTAAAAAAAATAAAAAGCAGTTACTTGCATTATTTTTTAATAAAAAAAGAGAAATATTCAAGTTTATTTGGATTCAAAGAAAATACTACTATTGTTTCATATATACCAAAAAGGTAATAAAATTGATGTAACAACTGGTGAATTGTTAAAACCAGAAATTATAACTTTTTATAATTTAACCAAAGCAGGAGTTGATGTAGTGGATCAACTTTGCTCAATATATTCCATATCTAGGAGATCAAATAGATGGCCACTTACCATTTTTTATACTATGATAAATATTTCAATAATAAATGCCCTAATAGTTTATAAAGCCAATAATTTGTTGACTATAAAAAGGTCTAAATTTATAAAATTATTAGCTATGGAACTGATAACTCCATTTATGACCAGTAGATACGAGAACCCTTGTATATGTAGACTATTACGTAACAACATAGGGGACGTTCTCAACATAATTGATGAAAAACATATTCCAATAAAAAGGGAAGTTTAGTTATGAGTGTCCAAGGGTGAAAGATAAAAAAAACAACATTAATTTGCTTAAATTTGTTCAAAATTTATTTGTAAAGATCATATTCATACAATTTGCCGCGAATGTTATCTCAAAATTTTACATGATATTTGATGATTAATATTTTTTTTGATATATTTTTTTATAAAATTTGCATTTTTTGAATTTTATTTAGTGATAATACCATAATTAAAGGAAGTACTCAAAAAGAAAATTTTATTTCAGTAACTTTAGGAAAATTTGTCTAACTTTTTTTGGTAGTAAATATTAATCTAAGATTTTGTATTTATTATCTCCAATATTTTTTAAATATATACTCAATTGATCTCAATTTTTAATATGTTCTGAGATTTCGCTAATCAAAATTTGGGGTAAAATAGACCCCACCTTTGTAGTTAAGGGAGTTTTTTCCACATTTGTGGTGAAGGGTTAAAATTACAAAGCCTGTATTCAAGGTATCAATATAATGCGATAAAACAAGATAACTTATATTTTTAAAAATCGCTACAATTAGCTTTTGGTTTCAATGGCGCGATATGTACCTAAAAATACGATATGAATTTACTGTATTTTGTATTTATCGCGGCTAAATGGCCCTGCTATGAATTCGAGGTTGTACATTTTTTCGGTACAACTAAAAGCTACCATTCCAGTAAATCTAACTAGTCTTTTTTTGAGGCTGATTAGAGTGAGTTATAAAGAGTGCTTAGCCGACAACAGTTTAGAAATAAGGACAATTAAACCCTGACCCTTTATTTTAATAATCATAATGTAACCTGTTAAAGCGCTCTGTTCCAAATTCCAACGTATTTTCAAAGTCTTGATAAGCTATAAAAAAGAATTGTACTAATTCTTCCTTCCTTGTCCTTTGGTAATAGCGTAATATTCTTACTGCTCAATTCAACCAATTAAATTGAGATTTTCGCCAAAATAATATGAGCCTTGAGATTTCATTAATAGATGTCAACTCTGTCACCTATGAGCAAAATCTCCGGGGCTTGCATAGTATTTTTGGCTAAAATATTGTTAACCATTTTTAAAAATTGAACCGTTTAAGAGATTGAAGAAAGGACATAATAAAGTATTAAAGATTTATATTATTAAAACGGGACATGAAAAGTTAATTTTTGTAATTTATAAATTTAAAATTTTAAATATATCAAAAAATAATTACTTTATTTTCCTCTATATTTGAATTCATTTTATTTTAGCAATTGTATAATTATAATTGTACAATATGTTATATTTTTTTTTATAAATAAAACCGCTAACTCATTTAATCGTTTGGAATTTTTTTTAAAATAATTATTTTTTAAATATTTTATTTATTATTATTTAATAATATTTTAAATAAATAACAAAAAGGGGGTAAACATAAACAAAGATTTTATATTCATATTGGAACGTGGTGTGTTGTTAAAATATAAAACAAGCCGATTGGAGTTTTCTGATAGATGACAGAAAGAAACGTCATTGGGGCGAGGGGAGGGGAAACACGGGCTCGTGCACTCCGAAAAAAATGCTTTTTGAACCCCCTGAGATTGTAAAGCCTAGTGACGGCCATGGCATAAAGGTTTGAACATCTATTAACAAAATCTAGAGACCTGCTATTGATATTTATTTAGCTAAAATCTTAATTTAAAATTGGATGAATCGAGCCATAACTTTGTTTATCTTTGTTAAGTTTTTATATTAATATCGAAATTTTTTTAGAATTTCTTAAAATGTTCTTTTCGATAAAAATATGATGATATATTTTAAACTTTTTTAATATTCACGCACGATAAATTAAAATTTATCAAATTATTTTATTTGTTTCCTCGTCTTCGATGGTTACATTTTGATAATATAAAGACCGACCTGGCAAAAAAATTTTTACTACTTGCCCGACCTGTTAAATATTTTTCCAGGCCTTAAATCAGCCCTGCCCGGAACGGGCTTTTTAGGTCTCATAGTATATTAGGTTACGAAGATTATAAGGTCTGCAAAACTCAACCTACCAACCCGTGGATTGTGAAATTATTATTCCTCATTTTCGTGGTGGGAAATAAAAAAAAATCGGATGAGTTGTGTTTGGAAATATATAATTTCTACAAATTTAAATTTAATCGTGCAAATAATTCATGGCTTTACATGTTATTTTATAATTTCGTTCATTTAATATTACTTATAACATCCTGATAAAGCACCTATCCGCGATAACCATCTCCAAATTAAATTGCATATGATTATAGAAATTAGTAAAATAAGGAATATGTTCATATAAGAACTGAATAATCTTTCCCAACAATTTCATTTTATCTCTTGAATTGTGATATAAATAAATTTTCATTTGACAAGATGAAAATTTTTGAAAAATCTGGCTTATACAACCCATTAATTATGGCTTTATTAGAACATTTTATTGTTTTATTCTGTTTGGTATTTTAAAAAAAGGATTATTGGTTAAAAAAAAATTAAAATTGTCAAAATTAGTATCATGCTAAAGGTTAAAATAGAAGCAAGTTATAACTATCTGGCTTGCATGAATATTTAGTGCCTTATTAATTCTTTGATCACGCCAGCCACAAATAATATTAGCTGAATCACGAACCAAATACAAAATGATATCAAGCCTTAGGTATAAAGACATAAAGATATATTTATGTCAATAATTAATAGGTATTTCATACTTTTTAGTGCTTCAACCCGTTTAGTAGATATAGTTTAAAGAAAAATATTATTCGGAAAATAAAAATAAATTGACAAGATTGACATCATGTTAGAAGGAAAATTATAGAAGCAATCAACAATACGTAAGGCATAATTAGTACCTATTATTTCATTAATCAGTTTTTCTAATCAATAAATAAAAAAAATTATAAGCGCAATAAAAATTATGGCACCAGAGAGGGGAGTCATAGAATCTATTTTCTTCTAGATATCTTTCATAAGGTGTGCTCCTACAATAGTGAGTAAACAAAATGGGGGAGGGGGGTTGTGGATTAAATCTAGACATGTTGTTTTCAATCATTTTTTCTCCTAGGAAGACACTGGGGAAGGATATTTATCTCTCCATCTATTTGGCTATAAGTCTCGACTATTTTGCATTATTCCTATCAAAGCTCTCTCCCGATTCGCGCCATCTTTCTAATTACCTTGTTTTCTAAGGTCTAGAGAAACGGGGAGAGGGGTTAAAAAAGATTAAGGAGTTATGAGTGGAATTATTTTTAAAAATGGGGCATACTTATTATTCCTGAGGTATATTCACGATTTTTAAATTGAAATATTGGGTTAGTGAGAGTTATGGTAAGGGATCAGATATTTGGTGTTAAATAAAATTATTAAATATAAATATTTTTATTAATATAATCATTCTTCTTCATTCCATACATACATATAATCATAATATTCGGGTACAAATAATATCACTCCTTATATAATCAACTTTATACATAACTTATATCATTAATATATATATCTTAGTTCTCGAACATTCACAGTGTTCGGTAGTCAGCGACATGAGAGAATAATCATTTGAGGCAAACTCTTCCCTTTCAAAGACCCATACCTACTCTCTAAAAAATTACCGCCTTCGGTAGCCATATTCTCACATTATTTATTACAATTTTTTTCTTATATTTAGAAAGAATAGCTATATGTTCTTAAATCTTAAAAAAAAATTAGATTATACATGGGTCAAATGGCATTGATGTGCTTTATCGCTCAGACAATGCAAAATATAATATTCAATTTCCCCTATATTGAAGTGCCTACTCTAAAGCGAAACCATTTAAATTTAATTATAAAGAGAAAAATAAACCTTGAAATGAATAGATTTGTTGACAGGAAAAATATTGTTCAAGACCAAAACGTTATATACTAAATCTCTAAAAATGATGCATATGGCTATAAAATAACAATGTCGTCTCTCTAAAATGGGAATATTTAATAGATCGAACCCTCGCACCCCTCCCTCTCAAATTTTTCAAAATATATATATCTTAAAGCGATCCATTTGATAAAAAAATATTGTTTTAATTTTAAATTTTGAGTATTCGTGGAAATCCAGTAACTTAAAAGTTCTGAGGCACCCCTAGATATAGATATATTTTTTTACATGTCTATTTTCAACTTTAAAATAAATTTATCACATAATTTTATTATACAAACTTTCATGAATAAAAAAAAACATTTCATTCATTAAGATAATTTTCTTGTGCGGCCATCTGTTCAGGAGTATAATTCAATGATAGATTGTTAATTCTTAGAACCGTTCGGTTGTACCTCGTTACTTGTTTTTTTTGTGTACAATTAAATAAAGAATGCAAAAGTTGTAACTTGTCCAAAATAGATTGGAATCAGTTTGGCATCACTAAGTGTGACACATTTCAGTTAAAAACTTTAATTCATTGATACTCAAGCTAGGTCTGCAATTAGCGGAGCCTGAAAGCCCGCCAGCTTTTTAAAATTTATTTTAACCCTATCGCCCATCCAATGGTTCAAAAATAATTTATCTGCCCACCTATTCACTCATCTAAAAAAAATTGTTTAATTCGTCCAATATTTTAAAATTATTTGATATTTTAATATTTAATAAATATAAGCTCATACTGTTCATCTAGCATATCAAATATTTTAAATTCTCCCGCCTACTCATTATTCTAAAATAAATTAACTCGTCCACCTGTCCACCAATTTTTAAAATTAACCAACCTACCTAAACGCGCCTAATGGGTGAAGTTAAAACCCCGCCCATTGCAGACCTAAAATTTATACATTTTAACCAATGCCAGTGTACAAAACCAAAAAAAAACAAAATAAATTTTCATATTTAGTCTATTAAATTATTAATTTTAAAAAATATTTATTATCTATTTGTAAACTGATAATAATAAAGATTTTTCCCTATTTTACTTTTAATTTAATCTATGGTATTGGTATGGGCTAAAAAAAGTGGTAACAGTGCACCCCTGATAAAAAAGATATCATTTTGATAAATAGCATATTATATGAAATATCAAATCCTGATTTTTCTTCCCAAAACTTATTTATATTTTATAATTTATACCACTTACAAAAGAAATTTCATTTTTTAATTTTAAATAAACATCTCTATAAAACTGAATGCTTTAAATTTATATCAAAATTTTTTAAAAATTGATAAAAGAGGTAGTAATTAAAATCATTAACAATATTATTATGGCCATTCATTAATAGTGTTGTTAGATGGTTTTTAAAAATGGCTAGTCTATTATTTAACTAAAAAATATTACGCAAACTTGAAGATTTTGCTCTGGATGGCAGAAAGGTTGGGACATCTGACATCTATTAACAAAATCTCAGAGCCTGTGTAATATTATCTTGGCTAAATTTGATATTTTCAGCTTATATTATTCTAATCCATTCTATTTTATTTGTAGATAAATTTTTTACAACTCTTTAATTTGCCTTAATATATAATTTCAATTATATAATAGATATAAAGCATAATGTATGTTCACTAGTTAAATTTTATTTTACTTCTCATTCTACTTTTAGAAAATGGTTTTTTCCAGTGTCTAAAATCTGTATACATGTGTGTTAAGCCTCTTTCAATAACTGTTGCTGTTATGTTTATCATATCACTAGGCAAGAAAGGCCTGCCAAATAAACTAAAATCTTTCCCACCCATGACTAAAACCTAGTTTGGGTGATATTATAATGTCACTTTAATCAAATTTACTTTATCTAATTTTATAACTTCACCCATTTGTGCAGGTAAAAACCCATGGCATCTGATAATATCATAATTGGTTATTTTGTATTGTTCCCCGTAAAGATATATGATTGCGAATATAGGATAAATTGAATGGGTTAATTTGTTACAAGCTATGATTTTATTGGATACATCTTTAATTATTGAATCATCTGAAAATAGACATAAGGATTGCTAATTATAAAAAGATTTCACAAATATTAGGTAGAGCCCTACAAGTTATGCTCAAACCTAATAAAATATTATAGAATTGTGCATGGCCAGGCATATATATTTTTAATTGCTCCAGAAGAGTTGATAGTATATAAAAAAATTCTAAATAATAGGATAGAATAATGCAATTTTACTTTTATATTTCTAGCCAGGCTTGGGCATAAAATAAAAAACTTTAGGCTTTAAAAAATATATATTGGGCCAGTACAGGTATATATTTATATATTTGTTAGTGTCTTTTTGGATTTGTTCATTGGCTTGCAATCTAATTTTTAAATACTTAATAAAAGGAGGGGGCTATAGTTAATATAATGGATCCTAATGATGAAACACTGTTCCAGAATGTAAATCTATCAGGCCCCTTTTAAATAGTTTAACTTTTTAAAAGGGGAAAAAATAAAATTAATTGGCATAGATCTAATAATATTTTATTCTTTTTAATTGTATTGATTAATCATTATATGGCACATCTGTTATCATTAAGAAATGCATTGATGATCACTAAACAATAGGTAAGCTGTAGTATTTACTTTATAATTTATGCATCATGATATTATTAACCCAATTTATAATATATTTTTATCAATTTTTTTAAAAAAATGCAAAATTATGAAAAATTCAGCTACTAGGCAATAATATTTTTAAACTTATATCATACTCTTCTGTTTAATATTTTAATAAATGCCAAACCAGTTATTTAATGTGTGATTATTTATTCTAATCATAAATAAAAAAAATTAATATATTAAAACTTGATATATTGTCATCATGTAATTGTATATTATGTGGTTCAATATTTTGAGATAAATGCCTATGATTTAATAAATATCTGTTAAATATAATTTCTAAAAGATTAAATTTAATATCGTATACGAAATTCTAGTTTTTGGTGAATTTGTGTTGCTTTTCAAACTAAATAAGGCAGCTAAACATAAATATATGAAATAAATCAGAATTATTATCTTAAACCTCTATAAGAAATTGGTTTATTTATAAGCATATGTAGAAATTCTAGACGGCTCAACATATATATTTTAAATAAATCAGAATTATTATCGTAAATCTCTATGTGAATTCGGTTTATTTGAAAACATGTGATATGAATGAATGGTTAATCAATTGAATTTTATATTGCCATTACTCATAAGTAAATATATTAAAAGATCATATGGTTTTTTCATTTTTTAAATGATAAAACTTAAGGAGCTGATTTTGAAATTTTTATGAAAAATTTTAAAAAAATTGATATTTAAAAATTGATTTTCTGAAGCATGGTAAAAATATGAAAAATTTGGAGCTGGAGTCATTTAATTTATAAATATGGATTTTTGCGAAAAATTTAAAAATGAAAAATTTGATGTCAGATATATGGGAATGATATGATCTTTACAAATGGATGTGTCTGGAAAATAGATTGATGGATTGATATTAAATACCAAGTATTATGAAAGGGGATATTAACAGGAGACAATGTCCAACTCTTTTGAATATGATGGAACAAGAGCCAGGTTATCAAACTTTTTTCTTGATGTCTCAGGTTAGTATTCACTTATTTCTTATAATTACTTATTTCTTTAATATACTTTATTCATTTTTCATATTTATGTTTATTTACTTATTTCTTGATTAGTTTCACACACATAAGTTAAGTTTATTTTAATCTAGCAAATTTATTACTCTATACATATTAAGTACTTATTAAACATAATTTCTATTACTTCAAAATTTTCTAGCTTCACAGAACTTTTAGTTTAACGAACATATTAATTAAATTGGACTTCTATATCTTGCTTAGAATTTTAGTATACATTTGTAAATTTTCAACTATAAATGTTTCTAACTTTTAACGTCTCGAGCATACAATTGGAACATTATTTATTGTTGCAAAAAATAAACACATTAAAGTTAATATATTGTACTTCTCTAAAGTTTAGATATAATAGTCTATGTTGGAATACTAGCAGTATGCTTGTCAGAATAATATAATATAAAATAATTGCTATTCCTACCCCTATAGTAAAGATAAAACATTTTTTTATGTGTATGAACGATAGCATTATGTTAGTTAGAATTATATAATATCATGAAGATGTTAGTTAGAATTATATAATATCATAAAGTAATTCTGGTTATTCCTACCTTATAAATTAACTTTATGTTTATCCAATTTTATCCGATTATATATTATATATAGATTGGTCTGTACCTGTTTGAATATATTAGTCATTCTCTATGTATCAATTTATAATTCCATTTATACATACTTCACATAACACATAGCTTAGATTATATTTTTGGTACCTTAATATAATATCTATATTATATTATACTTTATAAAAACTTCATGCCTATATGATCATATATAAAATTGAGCTCAAACATCAAGGTACCTTATATTTTTTTGAACATATCTGTCTTCCATTCCTACATTACTTTATACTGACATTTATACATATTACATATTGATTAGATTATATCTACACATATATATAAATATATAATTGGTTAACTATAATATGATTGGAAAACTTTAATAGCATGTATATATGATATTATGAAAATCCTAATATAAATTTGTCTTTACCCTTAAAGATTTGTAAATAGATAAATCTTAATTTTGTTACTTGTAATTAAGTAAATCTTAATTTTGTTAATATTTACTTTGCTCTTCTATTAATATATTAACTCAAATAGAAACAAACCTTTTCTCAATATTATTATAATCTCTTTCTAAATTTTGCTTTCATCTACCTCTTCATATATTTTCTTATTAAATTTCTATCTTTAGGTTATTTTCGGTGCCGATGCTGGATGGTAGGTATTTTAGGTTGGGATAATTATAATCTTAATTTTGGTTATTATATAGATTTTCCGAATTCAGATTATGTCTTATTACTATAGATTTTTCCGAATTCAGATTATGTCTTATTACTTAATATATTTTTCTCTACTATTTGTATTACTTCTCTTAAATTCTTCTGGCGCCTCCCAAATTTTTATTTTTCAAAATCTTTTTTAAGCAGCCGGATTTTTGCTTTGATTATGTTTAAATGAAAATAAATAAATAAATAATATTTTTTTTTCTTATATTTTTAATTTATTATTACTAGTACAATAGGTATAATGATGATTCTTTCCGAAACCCCTAATAGCTTTTTAATTTTTGTTAACGGAATTTATAAATATAATTTATAGAATAAAGTAATCTATGCCATCAAATTTTAGCAGCCCTTATGGTTTTAAATTTTCGTAATAGTAATTTATAAATGCAATCCTTAGAATAAAGTATCTTATGCCAATTTATAAATGCATTTTTTTTAGAATAAAGTATTCTATGCCATTGAATATCAAATAATTTGTATTCGAATTTAAGATATAACTTGTAAAAAGCTATCAAATTTATGAGAATGGACATATTACTAGTTGATCGCCATATTACACGCTTCTATGTAGTCCTTGACATCGACTTAGGCCTTGACATCAGTTTTCTTATGTCGCAACCTTCGACATCTTACTAGTTTTAATGTAGTCCTTGACTTCTTACCTACGCCCATAATTATATTTGGCATCTTACTATTTCTCAAACAAAGTCCTTAGTTTAATCCCTTTTCCGCTTGGTAAAATGTAATTAATTCTACTTTTTCAAACAAAGTCCTTAGTGTAATCCCTTTTCCTCTTGGTAAAATGTATTTAATTCTACGTTTTCTTGTAAATTTCAATCAATTTATTATGAAATTTAGTCCTTCACGTAACTATTTAGCTCAAATATTGTACGGAATAGCAAAATATAAGTTCAGAAAAATCTTTTCTTTTTTTTTCTTTTTTTTACCAAACCTTACATCATGAATCTTAATCTCCCCCTTAAAACTATGCTAACGGGTCCCTTTTCTTATCCTCCTTAAATATTAATAGCATCAAAGACAAAATGTCAATTCCTATAACGCTATTATCAAATTTAAAAAAATAAAATAATAATAAATGAAGTTTTATTTCTTATATTATTTTTTTAGAAAACTTTTTGTTTAATAAAAATATAAAACTTTTTAGACGCCGAAGTTCTTTTGTTCATGTAATTTATATGTTTTCTCCTACCTTATTATATTTCTTTCTTCTCGTTAGAAGATTTATTATTTTTCCCTTCTTGTCTCATTATGTTTCTCCCTTGTTTTTTATATATATGAGAAACATATATTTATTTCTTTTACTTCACAATATGTAATCTTGCTTCCGTTTTTTACTAGGTTTCATAATCTAACTATTGATGCGTAGCCCTATAACTAGGTATAATTCCAAACACATTATGAAGTAATAATAAAGGAAAAATAATAAAAATAAAAATAATGGGTTATTATTTTCCGAATAAGAGGATATAAGGAGGGATAAGGAAGGAAATTAGGAAAAAAAAAACCTTTTATCCTATCCTAACTACTATACGAAGCTTACTCAAATACTCATTTAATCTATTATCATTTACTATAATCATTTAATTACTATAATCATTTAATTTAGATACCATTTATATATATATATTAATTGTATCTTTTTGAAATAGTTTTTGAAACAGTTCTTATATATATTCTATTTATCATCGTGTGTGATTGCTATTCTTACAAGGCGGATTCTCTGTAAGATATAGGTAAAAGACTAAATAAATGTCATAATTAACCTCACTTTAATCTGGTAACTTATACGTTATGTAGTATGACACTCAACTATAATAGATAACAGCATAGTTAGAACCACAAACGGATTTCCACCGGGTTAGGAAACCATAGAGGAGGGTTTCGTGCCAAATCCCATACCTGGATATAACTCCATCCCAAACTTTTTTAATAAGGATAAAACTCTTAAATTCCAGTTGCATATATTAGTTAGTATCTCACCCTGTCTTGGATATATGCTCTAAGTTAGGCAAAAGAGAAAAAAAATAATTTAAGGAAATGAATTTTAGAAATAAACGATTAAGTTTTACTTCATGAACCTTGAAAACTAGCTATGCCCCGAAATCGTTCTTCTTATAAGTTGATAATTGGTGGGATATATATTGCATTCTAATAAAAATTAACCCCTGATACTATTAAATATTACATAACGAATAAATCATTATTCACTCTAATGCTTATGTTTCTAAATACATTATAACATAAGATAATAACCTAATCGGATGGCATTGCCCTCCCCTTTTACAATATCGTCAATTATCTTTTGAACACATTATTTAAAATATGGTTATTATATTTATATAATTATAATACACTTTTTATCTTTTATTAATTAATAAAGTTTAACAATTATTATTAAGGATATTTGGCATCTTACTATTTCCCAAACAAAGTCCTTAGTGTAATCCCTTTTCCTCTTGGTAAAATGTATTTATTTCTACCTTTTCAAACAAAGTCCTTAGTGTAATCCCGTTTCCTCTTGGTAAAATGTATTTAATACTACGTTTTCTTGTAAATTTCAATTAATTTATTATGAAATTTTTTTACGGGACTTAAAATTTCTTCAGAACAAATTGTAAAGTGTCGGGACTTAAAATTCTTCAGAATAATTTGTAAAGTGGGACTCTTCGTTATCATATGTCCTATTTAGGTAAAACTTTTGGTTAGTTTGGTCTCTACCTTCTTTTTATACTCGACTTTTGCTAGCTGATTTGACCTTTTTATTTTAGTCTCTTGCTATCAAATATCTCATTTAACTTCACTGGTAAGACTTTCATATCTTATTTAATGTAGATGGTCGGATATTTCTCCTTATAATATCACTATCCTAAATTCCACCTATATAGGATAAATCGAACACAACGCTAACATTGTATTATGTATATATTATTTTATATCACATATATTAGACTATATATACATTATTTGGACTTGGAATATCGTATATATTTTATTAATTTTTGCTTCCCTTTCTTTCACTTGCTAATACTTTATGACTCCCTCCCAAATATGTTTCTATTTTACTTTTTCTGTCTATTTATAAATTGTATTTATGTTTTTCTTTAATTTCAAACGACTTCTCAAGTTGTCTTGGCTAAAAATAAAACAAATAAATAAAATTTTATTTTCAATATTTCATAT